TTTTTACATCAATACTGGGGGTTTGTTAAAATTACGAGGTCACGTAGCAGCTGGACCCACCGGTGGGTCCGTAGGGTTCTAGGGGTTAAGGGGCCCCCCGGGAACTTGGGGCCCTAGGCATCTGCCTAGTATTGCCTAATGGTAAACCCCCCCCTGGATGGCGAACATTATTTTTTATAGGTTATCACTTTGACGAATAGTTGTTTTGTAGTATTAAAGTTCTTTGTCTTATTTCAGCTTGGTAAAAATGTGCTTGATTTGAAAAGAAAAGAAAACATCACTGTTCCATTTTATAATTGTCCACAAACTAATGTCGTAAAATGAGAAAAAAATGTGATTAAAAGTGTTTTAAAATTGTATTTGAATGTGCCGATGAAATATGATTTGTTAAGTTTTACGTTGCATTTTATGTTTGTGAGGAGAGGACAACGTGAATCTGTGCAGGACTGACGACCACAGGGGTCTCCATGCCCTCCCCAGGCTTGAGGATTGCTCAACTCTAGAAGCTGGGGTTCAAACAAACCATGAGGCAGAATTAAGCAACATTTAGCTGTAAGGAATTTAAGGGTTCCAGAGGACAGTCTGTGCCACACAGGCCCCTAACCAATGCCACATGTCCTGCACATCTCTGTGACTGTCTGGCTGGGAGGATGTCGGTGTCTCACTAGTGAGAGGATCTCAAGCAAAGCTGCATGGATGGCCAGATGGGGACTAGTACTTATATTGGAGCGAGACACCAAAACTGAAGACATGATGCAATTTCAAATGTTTTAAAACTATTTATGATGGGCAGCAATGATTGAAGTGAGAGTAGGACCCAAAAAGGTCAAACATGTTTATTAATCAGCAGATAAAGAGGTTTCCAAGGGGTGATGTTATGGTGGAAGCAAATCTAGTTTTATTTTAACTACAGCTGTTGGTTTCTAGGTTCAAAACAGGACAGAGCAGCCCCCATGGAGCCAAGACCAGGTAGGTTTATTCAGGAAAACACAGATTCCTCATTAATCCAGGTTCAGTATAACGGCCTTGTAGAAACTGTGTTTATATACTTGATTGTAAAAAGAATGTTAAAAATAATGGAATAGAGACAAAAAAAACAAATATAAAGTAAGCAATGTACAGTCAATATATATACAATATACAAGTCATTTTTTCTTAAAATAAGTGCATTTGTTCTTGAATTGAGGAGGTAAAAGAGACATTTTGCCAATAGAACAAGACATTTTACACTTCAAATATGAAAACACAATTGCATCGTCTTATTTCAAGTGCATATTATCTAATGATCTTATTTTAAGAGTAAAATTACACATTCCATTGGCAAACTATCTCATTAATCTGCTCAAATTAAGGGTAAATACACTTAATTTAAGACATTTTTTTACTTATTTCTAGATCGTTTTTGCAGTGTATATACTCTGGAAATAATGGAAACATAGACAAGTAATTTTTATCTTAAAATAAGTGCATTTGTTCTTGGATTGAGGAGGTAAAAGAGACATTTTGCCAATGGAACAAGACAATTTACATTTAGAATAAGAAAACACAATTGCATTCTTTCATTTGTGCTTTTTATCTAATTATCTTATTTTAAGTGTAAAAATACTTACTCCATTGGCAAATTATCTCATTTACCTACTCAGATCAAGGGTTCATACACTTAATTTAAGAAAACTTTTACCTATTTCTAGATCATTTTTCCAGTGTATATACTGGAAAAAAAATCGAAATCTAGATAAGTCATTTTTTCTTAAAATAAGTGAATATCTTCTTGGGTTGAGGATATACAAGAGACATTTTTCCAATAGAACAAGACAATTTAGATTTAAAATAAGAAAACACTGTTGCTTTGTCTTATTTCAAGTGCATATTATCTAATTATCTTATTTTAAGAGTAAAAATACTCATTCCATTGGCAAACTATCTCATTTACCTACTCAAATGAAGGGTAAATACACTTGATTAAAGACGTTTTTTTATTTATACACTGGAAAAACGATCTAGAAATAACAAAAGATGTCTTAAATTAAGTGTATTTACGCCTAATTTGAGTAGGTAATTGAGATGGTTTGCCAATATAATGAGTATTTTTACTCTTAAAATAAGATAATTAGATAATATGCACTTTAAATAAGACAATGCAATTGTGTTTTCTTATTTTAAGTGTAAATTGTCTTGTTCCATTGGCAAAATGTCCCTTTTACCTCCTCAATCCAAGAACAAATACACTTATTTTAAGAAAAAAATGACTTATCTAGATTTCTATTTTTTCCAGTGTATATAGATCATTTTTCCAGTATATATTTAGATATAAAGTCGGAGCTGAATGACTGGCCTCAGTCAACCTAAACATAATATGTTTAGATGCACTTTTTGCAGCAGCTTCTCTACCTGTTGCTTTGTAATTTCCAGCTTTACATGATTTCTAACTATCCCTATGAACTCTACAAACGTGTAAAGTAGACCCTTACCGNTATGAACTCTACAAACGTGTAAAGTAGACCCTTACCGAAGTGGTGATAAAAATCAGTGCAAATATTGTAGATTATTTATTTATTTACTGTCTAAAAAATGCAACAGCTGCTGCCGCTTTCTTTAAGTAGGGGAGTAGAAAGAGTAATGGATAAAAAAACCTTATAATTTATCATTACAGTTGGAAATAAGTATTTGAAAATTTTTTTGATAATTTTCTATTTCTTTTTAGCTTCAAAACAAGAAAGAGGGACCCCCATAGATCCAAAACCAGGTGAGAAAAATGAACCTTTTATTAATGTCTGTTCAGTCCTGCTCTCTGAATATAAACATCTTCACATCTTCAATCCAATCAATGTTTTATATAAAGTATTGTTTTCTGTGTTTTTTTTTGCAATAAAACATGTTTGTTTTGTTAATTGATTTAATTCAGACTTCTAGCAGGTGGAAGCCTCATTCATTTCCACATCCCAAGTCAGAAAACCTTCCAGTTTCCAATTTATGAGCTGCGTTCAAGAAAGCTCTATGGACTTAACCTACTATGAAAAACTGAAACTGAATCTGAATGTGTTTGAATGAAATTTATGTAATCCATAATTAAACAGAGGTTGTTGAATTAAAATAAAATATTAATTTACTTTTAGATTTATTTAGACCATGTGTAAAGGTGTTAAAATGCAGAAAGCTCAACTACAACCAATGCTAAGTGCATTAACTCAGAAACATTCATGTCTGAAAACCATTTGCTTTAAGATGTCTTATGTATATTTTCGAAAAACAAATAAAACACCAACCGTGACCGTTTCATTATTTATACCATTAATGTTTTTAAGGTCTTAAGCTCTGAAATGTGATGACATCAGGGATGTTATCATACATATATTGCTTTACCCTGATGTGGAAGTAAATCGGTGAATCTTTGTTAGATAATTCTGTGAGTAAAGAACCTGGTTAGCATTATAGAAAATGGATCA